AAAGATTGTCACCTCCTTTTTAATAACAAAATAATCTATCTTAGGTTGACAAAACTATGTGTTTCTTTAATAAATAAGTTAAACTATATATTTTAATAGTGTTTAAAAAGTGAGAACAGGTGATTTAGTGGATCTTTGTCGGTGTAATTGCCCATAGAAAACAACGAAATTTAACAAAAGTTTTTTGTTCATAACTTTTAAATAGTTAATAATATTAGGCCCCCCCTCCGGATTGTTATTAGGGGGGCCGAAACGCGTCGTTTGGTACCCCTCCCGACTTTTCCGCACCTTTTTTAGGGGTTGTTACCCCACCCTAGAGAATTACCCTCTACTGATACTACCTGTTCAATGTACCTTGGTTGAGACATAAAAAGATAGAGAACTAGAATATCTTTCAGTATTATAGAATTAAAACTAATTTAAAATACATAATATGCCTTCTTTTCCATGGTACAATAAAACAGGTTGAAGCCAATTTGACGTCAAACCTACAAAAGTCAAAGTTTTCGGGAGAGTAAAAATAAAAATGAGCGTGTGTAAGGAAAAATAAAAAAATACATTTCACTGGTTGACGTTTTTAAGTATATTTGAAGTTTATTCTTATTTATTTATTTTCTTTAGTTAAAATTTGATAAAACGTGTATGTTGTTTTCTGTTTTTGTTTTATGAGTTGCAGTGTTGTTGGAGGGACTTTTCGGCATAAGGGTCATAGGAACAGCACTTGGTGTATTTGTGGTATCTACTTTAAAATGTTTAACGCACAGCAAGGCATTTCACTGCAGCTCTGCCCACAGCTGCTTTCGCAACGTTCCTTACGCGAAGGACATTGAGGCACGTTAAAAAATTAGTGGTATCTGCGTTATATTTAACACCACATAAAAAACAACGCTTCAGGTGTTGCATTTTTAACACATACACTAAGTATAAACCGCACAACACTACAAAAATTCAAATGCAAATTTAAAAAAAAAACAACGATATGACATTCAAAGCGTAACGAAATATAGGAAATAAAATAAAATCAAGTTGAAGTTTAAAGGTTTAGTTCTCATGAGAGCAACGTCATTTTGGCTTCTACCTGTATTTATGTGCCTTGCTTCTTTTCGAGCTCACACTCAACTGTGCGCGTACGCAAAGCATTCGCATGTGAACGGCTAGTTTTGACGGTTGTGTCATATTATGCATTTTAAATTAGTTTTTATTCTATAATTCTGAAAGATATTTTAACTCTCTATCTTTTCATGTCTCATCTATAGCAAGAAGTTGAGTAATTACGAAGATATTGGTCAAAATAAAAAACTCACGCTCGCAGTGAACTGTATATCATTCTTTAGACAGCTTTACTTGTGAAACGCACAAAGGAAAGGAAGGTTTGCAAATCGGTTTGCCGTGAGTCCTCAACCGTCTTCTAAGGTCGGTGTTATGCAGAAATTTTGTTTGGCAAACTGCGTGCAATTGTTGTTGCAGCAAACTCGGAGAGAGCGAGTTTGGCGACTCTCACAGCAAACTAATTTTGTTTGGTCAAACTGCAGCAAATTCGGTGTTGTCATATACAAAAATTTTAAATTTTGCGCGTTATGTACATCTGAAATTCTCATTTCGTGTTGGCAATAGCCATGAAAACCATAATGAACGTGCAACCCTGTGCCAAACTCGACATAACCACCTCCGAGCAAACTAAGCAGCCGCCATTTAATTTGGCAAACAAAAGTTTGTCTGCATAACACCGACCAAACAGATTTGCCAGACAAGTTTGTCGTGAGTACCCCGCTTGAGGCTGCTACAACAAAAACAGCGAACCAGTTTGAAAGCGTAAAACACAAAGCATTTCAACATGAGAAGCTGAATCAAAACTGGGCAAAGTTCAAAAATACATATACTACACATATACATACATACCTAGCCGTAATTAAGTACGTACGACTTATTCGTATAACAAAATAATCTATCATTTTTGAAAAAAAAAAGTATTTTCAGTAAGCGAGAGCGAGAAAATTTGTCGTAGCTATATACACATATATGTATGTATGTATGTACTTATCTACGTAGATACATACATATCTATATGTTCTAAATAATTAACAGTTCTTCCCTTAAGTGGACGCCCCCGATACATATGTATGTACATACATATTTCTACTTATAACAATATTAGTACAGAGTTTATTTCACTTTATTCAAATAAATCAATTTCAATTACAGAAATACTAATAATTACTCTTTACACTTAGTCGCTAATAAAAGTACAAACCATCTACTTAGTTATAAATACACACGTTCTGATTATTTTTTGTACAGCATATGGTAATCTATATATACCCGTATGCATACATACATATATGTACTTACATACATATATGTACTTACATAGGTATGTATGTGCATCCCAATTTTAACATCCATATGCATATGCATGTACATACGCATGAGTGTACCAGTATTCTGTTTTGAATGCGACTATATTTATAAGCATGTATATTTACGATGTGTTATCGCTTCTATCTTGCTTCAATACAAAATATATTTTGTTCTGACCTTACATAATTTAATGGTGCTTTTTAGGAGTGGAACAATTCTATTTAAGTTTTTATAATCAAATTCGAATAAAATAAAGATGTGCTTTGTATAACAACATTAACCTCTACTCCCGAATCATTTTACTTTTTATTACTAGCAATATGTTTGCGCAAATTTGCAAAGCGGGATCAGAACTACTCTTATAAAGGTTGATTAAATTGAAATATAAATTCGTGCAAAATTATGGAAAGTGAAATACAGGGTACTTGTAGAATTACTATCGTTTAATACCGAAAATGCGTACGTTTCTTTGCTGTGCATTTTTGATACATGTACATTAGGGTGGTCCGTAGAAAATCAAATAAACGATTTTTTTCAGTCTCACCCCCTCAATCGGTAATACCACGGTCACAGATATCAAATATAAATTTTGGTACCGATTGGAGACATTTAAGGCGTGTTGCTCAGAGGGAAAAGTACAGATTCCTCTATAGAGACTAAAAAATTAAAATTAATTTTGTTCTCATCTAATATCCAAAATCGGTAGTATCATAGTCGAAAATATCAACTATAAATTTTGGTCGCGATTGGAGTCGGTTAAGGCGTGTCGCAAAGGGGTCATAGGCCAGATGCCTCCAAGGACTAAAGAAATTAAAAATATTGTTTTCATTTAATACCCAAAATCGATACTATTAAAGTCGAAGACATCACATATATGTAAATTTTGGCCCGGTTGGAGTCGGTTTAGACGCGCCTTACCCAACTTCAATCGGGGCCAAAATTTATATGCGATATATTCGTCTACGGTAGTATCGATTAGGGGTATTAGATGAAAAAACAAAATAAATTTTAATTTTTTGAATCTCCAATCGGGGCCAAAATTTATATGAGATATATTAAACAATGGTAGCATTGATGTAGTCGTTGAGGCTTAGGAAATCTGATGTAAAAATTTGCTTCCTACATTTAAGGACCACCCTAATGTACATATATATGTACCCTGTTTACAATATTTTTTTTAGCTCTAAATACATCCGCTTTACCTGTGCAAAAAAAGACATTTTTATGCAGAAGGGGATTAAATAGTGAAATCACCTACATATTTTAGGGTTCATTTTGTACACCGCTTTATTCTTGAGTTTAATTTAAAGATGCCCCATATGCCTACGCTTGGACACGTTTTATTAGCTGGTAGAATAAACTGGCGCCCAGCATCCATGATACACCACCTAACTGTTGTAACATCACACCGCTATTAACACCACTGGTCCATGATGATTGTTTTGCTACGCGGGGAGTACTGTGGCAGATCGTTTCATTTTTAATAAATCTGAACATTGATTCTACAATATTAGCAGGTGTTATTTCACTACATTTTTCCAGTTTCTCAACAATGCAATTTTCTAAATCCTCCATTTCTTCACATTGTTTAGTACCCATCACAAATTTGGGTAGTGTTTTTATGCCACTCAGTCCATTCTGGGGAACATATCCTGCGAAAGTGCTATTGACGCAATTCTGTATGTCATCTTTCTTTGAATCTAGACATTCCGGACCCTTTTCAGCAATGAAGAGCGCTATCTGGTCGCCTCCTTTGTGACATATAAAGCTTAAAAGACTGCGTACGATGCGCATGAACACTTCCTGATGCTCTTTTTCTTCATTATCCAAACATGCTGCTAACTTGCTGTTGAATGCTTCAAAGCAAGCAAGAGCTTGAGGCTGTTTGTTGCAGTATTTGTTAAATACCACATCCAGTTCACCCTTTGGACTGGCCTCATCAATTTCAACCTGAATAGCAGTGAAGTTCAATATGTTCGTAGCGCATTCTGTTAATGTTGATACAGCGTTTTCTATTTCGGCATAAGCTGCTTCGCCGTTTTCTTTGCCAGCCACTTCAATGCATTTATCGCGGACTAGAGTTTTAGCATCGTCCAGAGTAAGATTCGTATTGGCCAACTCTGCTGGCAGTTTTTGTTGCAGGTCATTAACATTTATTTGGCTTAAGTCGATGTCGGAACCAGAAGGGCTACCATATACTTTGTTGACGCCAACAGCGAAAAATGCAATCGACAGCAAAACTGTGGCAATCAAAGACCGTTTCATTTTGATAAAGTCTCGCAAGTAATACTAAGGCACTAGGTTTTTTTCTTAATTTTTTCGACTTTTGCACTAAATGCTTTGCTTTTGTTGACCAACAAATGAGCCTCAGTTCTGAAACAAGGCTCGTGTTTAATTTAATAGGTGTACAAGTTAAGTAAACAAGAAACATGAACTACTGCATTTCGCGGACACACAAAGACTGATATGTTTCACTGCTACGAAAAGCTGATTCACGACTTGAGCTGCTTGATAATTGCAATTATGGCCGTGCATAGACGACTGCGCGGGGACGGCTTCCGCTTCAAACCGAAACAAAGAGTTAAAAGAAAATACAAAGCTTCTCTCGCCGCTTTGTGGCGCCACTCGACTTTGGCATGTGATTGTGGTTCAGGTTTTAGTTGCTGTAAAATAATAGATTGCAATATGGTTGCGACTGCTAGTCTGGTTAATTTAATTAATGCACACTTGGTTTGAGTACTGAAAGATAGGAAATAATTTTCTTATAGGCAAATGGAAATGAACCAAGTCGCGAATACACAGAAAAAGCGGAGAACAAATGCATGATCAGTGTTGCCAAGTTTACATTTGAAAAAGCACTAAAGAAAAATCGCGGTTTTCTGAGAGCTCAAAATTTTTATTAAATTATTTAATCGACTTTGTGGCGCGTATTCATAGTCCAGCAACTAAGTCGAAACTAACAAAGTTGCAACTTAAATTTAAGGGCCTGTGCCAATCGGTAACTTTTTTCTCCGTGGTGAGACGGGGTGGAAAAATTTGCAATGGTGTACAAATAAAAATTGAAAAACCAAACAAACGCTCGTGCGAAAGCTCTATTTTTGTGTGTTGCTGAAATTCTTAAAATTTATATTTATTTTATAATTTGCAAGTAACGTAAGCTTTTTTTATGCTGTTTCAGCTTTCATTTTTATGTTCACTCCTTATTACCGCCAAGCAATATTATGGCTGCATTTCTTTATTCATTCTGAACGTTTGGAATAAACTTTTTTGTTTACTTATTCTTTAGAACGTTACTGAAAATATGTTAACGTATATTTCAAACGCATTCTGTTTATTCCGGCTGCGAAATGGGAATATCCGGAATGTATAAAGAAACGCAGCCTATGTTTGTACCAAGAATGATAGAATACAAGATTGCGCCGTCCTGGGCGTTGACATTTGTGTACCACAAGTAAACAAAGAATAGAGCGAAAAGAAGACCGAGTTGAAACTGCCAAAGCGGTTCACTTTACTGCGAAAAACGTGTTTTAATTTTGCTAAATGCGAAAATATTGCATTTGTCTTCTAATCTATTAGAGAACAGTGAACATTTTAGTGCACTCCANATATCCGGAATGTATAAAGAAACGCAGCCTATGTTTGTACCAAGAATGATAGAATACAAGATTGCGCCGTCCTGGGCGTTGACA